CTATATCTCTGTCTGTCCATCCATGTTTTCATCCCAACCATCCATCTCTCCATCCATCCATCTATTCATCCATCCATGTCTCCATTCATCTATTCATCCATTTCTCCATCCATCCATCCATCCATTTCTCCATCCATCCATCCATCCATCCATCCATCCATCCATGTCTCCATCCATCTATTCATCCATCCATCCATGTCTCCATTCATCTATTCATCCATGTCTCCATTCATCTATTCATCCATTTATCCATCCATCCATCCATGTTTTCATCCCATCCATCCATCCATCCATCCATCCATCCATGTCTCCATCCATCTATTCATCCATCCATCCATGTCTCCATTCATCTATTCATCCATGTCTCCATTCATCTATTCATCCATTCATCCATCCATCCATCCATGTTTTCATCCCATCCATCCATCTCTCCATCCATCCATCCATCCATGTCTCCATCCATCCATGTCTCCATGCTTTATTTTGCGGTGATATCAATGTGGGAAAAGCACCCCCTGCCATTTCTAGCTGCGGCTATCTTTAGTAAAGGCAGATGATTCATGTAGCATTAACTTACTGGAATCCATCTGCCTTTAGTTCAGGCAGGCGGGAGGGTGTGCTTATCTGAGAAAATCCCCTCCTCCCCTCTTGCAGACTCCTGGGATGTATGACATCATTGGCCTAGGCCTGAAACCAGGAAGACACTGACGAAATGTCAGACCAGTAAATCTGATTTCCCTTCCTATCTGTGTACTAACACTGGCAGCAGGAGGGTGACGGATCTGAACAGCGATCCCATCACCGGGGTCTTCAGCAACAGGATCCCTAGTGTAGGGGGGCTTCATCAGGCCAGCATAAAATTACACCCCAGAGGGGAACCTAGCACGGGCCCCTAGAGATTGCCATTACCAGCAGGGGCCTCTAGATGTCACTATTACCAGCACAGGCCCCTGGATGTCACTACTACCAGCATGGGCCCCTGGATGTCACTATTACTAGCACGGGCCCCTCGATGTCACTACTACCAGCACGGGCCCCTAGATGTCTATTACCAGCATGGGCCCCTAAATGTAACTATTACCAGCACGGGCCCCTGGAGATCACTATTCCCAGCATGGGCCCCTAGAGATCACTATTACCAGCATGGACCCTGGATATCACTATTACCAGCACGGGCCCCTTGAGGTCACTTTTAGCAGCACGGGCCCCTAGAGGTCACTATTACCAGCACGGGCCCCTAGAGGTCACTATTATCAGCACAGGCCCCTAGAGGTCACTATTACCAGCACTGGCCCCTAGAGGTCACTTTTAGCAGCACGGGCCCCTAGAGGTCACTATTACCCGCACTGGCCCCTAGAGGTCACTATTACCAGCATGGGACCCTAGAGGTCAGTATTACCAGCATGGGCCACTAGAGGTCACTGTTACCAGCACGTGCCCCTGTGTGTCACCATTACCAAAACGGGCCCCTGGGTGCCACCATTACCAGCACAGGCCCCTAGAGGTCACTATTACCAGCATGGGCCCCTAGAGGTCACTATTACCAGCACGGGTCCCTAGAGGTCACTATTACCAGCACGGGCCCCTAGATGTCTATTACCAGCATGGGCCCCTAAATGTAACTATTACCAGCACGGGCCCCTGGAGATCACTATTCCCAGCATGGGCCCCTAGAGATCACTATTACCAGCATGGACCCTGGATATCACTATTACCAGCACGGCCCCTTGAGGTCACTTTTAGCAGCACGGGCCCCTAGAGGTCACTATTACCAGCACGGGCCCCTAGAGGTCACTATTATCAGCACAGGCCCCTAGAGGTCACTATTACCAGCACTGGCCCCTAGAGGTCACTTTTAGCAGCACGGGCCCCTAGAGGTCACTATTACCAGCACTGGCCGCTAGATGTCACTATTACCCGCACTGGCCCCTAGAGGTCACTATTACCAGCATGGGCCCCTAGAGGTCAGTATTACCAGCATGGGCCACTAGAGGTCACTGTTACCAGCACGTGCCCCTGTGTGTCACCATTACCAACACGGGCCCCTGGGTGCCACCATTACCAGCACAGGCCCCTAGAGGTCACTATTACCAGCATGGGCCCCTAGAGGTCACTATTACCAGCACGGGTCCCTAGAGGTCACTATTACCAGCACGGGCTCCTAGATGTTGCTATAACCAGCACGGGCCCCTAGAGGTCACTATTACCAGCACGGCCCCTGGATATCACTATTACCACCACGGGCCCCTTGAGGTCACTATTACCAGCACGGGCCCCTAGAGGTCACTATTACCAACACGGGCCCTTAGAGGTCACTATTACTAGCATGGGCTCCTAGAGGTCACTATTACTAGCACGGGCCCCTAGAGGTCACCTTCCCTGCAGAGATCCTTGAATCAGACACAATGGGATGATGTGTGCTGGGAGGGGGGATTTGGGGAGGATTTGTGCTGGGAGGGAGGATTGGGGGAGGATTTGTGCTGGGAGGGAGGATTGTGGCAGGATATGTGGTGGGAGGGAGGATTGTGGCAGGATTTGTGCTGGGAGGGAGGATTGTGGCAGGATATGTGGTGGGAGGGGGGATTGGGGCAGGATATGTGGTGGGAGGGGAGGATTGGGGAAGTTTTGTGCTTGGAGGGGGGTTTGGAGGAGGATTTGTGCTGGGAGGAGGGATTGGGGGAGGATTTGTGCTGGAAGGGGGGACTTTGGGGAGGATGTGTGCTAGGAGGGGGGCTTGGAGGATATTTGTGCTGGGAGGGGGGAATGGGGGGGGAGGATTTGTGCTGGGAGGGGGGATTGGAGGAGGATTTGTGCTGGGAGGGGGGATTGGAGGAGGATATATGCTAAGAGGGAGTTTTGGATGAGGATTTGTGCTAGGAGGGGGGATTGGATGAGGATTTGTGCTGGGGGGGGATAGTGGGAGATTTGTGCTGGGAGGGGGGATTGGGGGAGGATTCCCTGATACCTCTAACTACAATCTAGTGGAACCAACTGCCTTCAGTAGTCACCTGATTAGTACATAGAGTCCCCCTGTCTGTCATGTGATCTCAGTATAAATCCAGCTGTTCTGTGAAGCCCTCAGAGGTTTGTTAGAGGACATTAGTGACCAATCAGCATCATGAAGGCCGAGGAACACACCAGACAGGTCAGGGATAAAGTTGTGGAGAAGTGTAAAGCAGGGTCAGGTTATAAAGCAATCTCCCGAGCTTTGCCCATCTCACGGAGCGCTGTGTTCAATCCATCATCCGAACATGGGAGGAGTACGCCACAACTGCCAACCTACCAAGACATGGCCGTCCACCTAAACTGACCGGCCCGGCAAGGAGAGCATTCATCAGAGAAGCAGCCAAGAGGCTCATGGGAACTGTGGAGGAGCTGCAGAGATCACAGCTCAGGGGGGGAATCTGTCCTCAGGAGGACTATTAGTCATCCACAAATCTGACCTTTATGGAAGAGTGACAAGAAGAAGCCATTGTTGGAAGAAAGCCATAAGAAGTCCCGTTTGCAGGTTGTGAGAAGCCATGTGGGGGACACAGCAAACGTGGAAGAAGGGGCTCTGGTCAGAGGAGACCAACATGGACACCAAAACTAACACCGTCCATCCCCCTGAACACACCATCCCCACCGTGAAACATGGTGGTGGCAGCATCATGTGGTGGGAATGCTTTTCTTCAGCAGGGACAGGGAAGCTGGTCAGAGTTGATGGGAAGATGGATGGAGCCAAATACAGGGCAATCTTAGAAGAGAACCTGTTAGAGTCTGCAGAAGACCTGAGACCGGGGGGGAGGTTCCCCTTCCAGCAGGACAACGACCCGAAACATCCAGCCAGACCTACAATGGAATGGTTCCGATCAAAGCATCTTCATGGGTTAGAATGGCCCAATCACAGTCCAGACCCAAATCCAATGGAGAATCTGTGGCCAGACCTGAGAATTGCTGTTCCCAGACGCCCTCCATCCAATCTGACAGCTTGAGGGATTCTGCAAAGAAGAACGGGCAGAAATGTCCCTCTCTAGAGGTGCAAAGAGACATCCCCAAAAAGACTTGCAGCTGGAATGGCAGCCAAAGGGGGTCCTACAAAGTACTGACTCCGGGGGGCCGAATACAAATCCCACCACACTTTTCATGGATTCATTGGTCACAAATGTTGGAACCATTTCTCGAGGGGGGGGAGGGTCTTTCCCCAAAACGCATTGTCTTCAATATATATTTTTTTCGGTCAGACCCCCAAGTGGGCGTTCCTCTGCCCCTCCCCTCCAATTGTAGGAATTGTTATGGGAGGAGCTGAGGGGAAATCATCCAATGAGGACAAATGTCCTGAAGACAACTTTGGGGAGAATTATTCTCACAGTGGGGGGGGGGGGGGGGGGGGGGGATATCCCCAGAAGGATCCACAAAGGAACCTGAAGAACCTTCTCCACCCAAAACTAAGAATACATTTGGGGCGATATGTCCACCTTCCTTCACTTGCTGCATACTTGTCCTGAATGGTGGATTCCATAGTAATGAAGCCAGACGCAGCCAGGCAATGAGCATTTCCGGAGGTAGGTCAGGGCTGGGACCCGGTGTCTTCCTTCCATGACAGGTCTCCTTCATGTGGCCCCGACAGCGCGCTCCCGGATCAGCTCCCGGATTCATTCATTTATGTTCCTGGCATTTATATGGCGGTCATGTCACCTTGTCATGGCCACCATAACTCATCGTTCAGATGCCAGAGTCGGGTTTTCATCCAATAGACGTGTGTGACCGGTGCAGAGAACCCGCTGGATGTGTGCGCTGACCTCTCCCCACCCCTAGTGGGATCACTTAGAACAGGATGAAAGCCCCAGAGAGCACCAGAGAGCCAGCGCTGCAGACATCTCACCGCTCATCAACCGTCCACAGAACATCTGCGGGTCCAATACTGGGCTGAACAACTTACCTTCTGGGTCACATCTGGAGGGGCGTCACTGAAGTGTTCACAAATGTCTGACACAGATCAGCCCCTGCTACAGCCCAGCACCATGGAGAGGGTTTGCTTCTTCTAGGCAGGCTGTATTTGCATAGGTAACGCCCACATGTGACACTGAGCCTCCATGATTGAAGGAACTGAAATCCAGTGAATGAACGGGGCGGGGCCAGGGCCAGTCAGGCTGGGGAGGAAAGTACTAGATGATGCTGGATGTCCTTCAGCCAGGAAATGGGGCGGAGCTCTATCTGATTGGCTGCAGCTTCTAATGCACATTGTGAAAAGCTCCCAGTGTGCAGTGACATCAGAGGAAGCCATTCCAGTCTGGGGGAGGAGCCGGTACACCTGTGCAAGGCTGGAGGGGAGGAGCCGGTACACCTGTACAGGACTGAAGGGGAGGAGCCGGTACACCTGTGCAAGACTGAAGAGGAGGAGCCGGGACACCTGTGCAAGACTGAAGGGGAGGAGCCAGTACACCTGAGCAAGACTGAAGAGGAGGAGCCGGGACACCTGTGCAAGACTGAAGGGGAGGAGCCGGGACACCTGTGCAAGACTGAAGGGGAGGAGCCAGGACACCTGTGCAGGACTGAAGGGGAGGAGCCGGCGCACCTGTGCAAGACTGAAGGGGAGGAGCCGGTAGACCTGTGCAAGACTGAAGGGGAGGAGCCGGCACACCTGTGCAAGACTGAAGGGGAGGAGCCGGTAGACCTGTGCAGGACTGAAGGGGAGGAGCCGGTACACCTGTGCAGGACTAAAGGGGAGGAGCCAATACACCTGTGCAAGACTGAATGGGAGGAGCCAATACACCTGTGCAAGACTGAAAGGGAGGTCAGAGGTCAGAACTGATATTGATAATCGATGTGATTGATCTTATTGATCGGATTGATATGAAGGAATTCTGATGGGGGGAGGGGTGAGGGGGTCATTCTCTCCTGTGAGGAGTACAGGTTCAGGTTGTGTGGCGTCGGCCCCCTCCCCCACTAGGCCCATATTGGGGGGGTCGGATGGGTTGGGGCGTTCTCTAATCTGCGGCGGATGTTCGGCGCGGAGCTCTAATCTTCTTATTCAGGACGCGGCGATGGATTCCTTTGTGCTGGTTGGTTCTGAGACTCGTCGGTTGGAGGAGATAGGAGTCGGAGGAGTGCGGAGGGAATGCTGGGAGGACGCAGGAGGACGCAGGATGACGCAGGAGGACGCGCACAGATGTGCCAATCCCGACTTCTATGAACGCGTTTTATCCGGAGACATCCAATGGGGACATCCAACGCCTCCAAGTGATCTCACTCCTCCTGAATCATTTCCTCAGTACAACGGGTACTTACCTGCCATTGGTCTACATACAGAGACAACCAAGCTGAAATCTGAAATCAGGCTTGCAGTTAGAGGAAATGCTTTAGGCTGATGGGAGGAGGGGGAGGGGAGGAACAGCCGGTGATGTTTTATCATTTATAGTGATAGAGGAGGAGGTGAGCGATGACTTACCTTCAGAGGGCAAATGGGGCAGCAGGTGGGCAATAGAAGTCAAAGCTGCTGGTGGGGGTCACTACTGAAGAGCTGCTGGTGGGGGTCACCCCTGAAGAGCTGCTAGTGGGGATCACCACTGAAGAGCTGCTAGTGGGGGTCACTACTGAAGAGCTGCTAGTGGGGGTCACCCCTGAAGAGCTGCTAGTGGGGGTCACCACTGAAGAGCTGCTAGTGGGGGTCACTACTGAAGAGCTGCTAGTGGGGGTCACCCCTGAAGAGCTGCTAGTGGGGGTCACCCCTGAAGAGCTGCTAGTGGGGGTCACCACTGAAGAGCTGCTGGTGGGGGTCACCCCTGAAGACCTGCTGGTGGGGGTCACCCCTGAAGACCTGCTAGTGGGGGGTCACCCCTGAAGACCTGCTAGTGGGGGTCACCCCTGAAGAGCTGCTGGAGGGGGGTCACCACTGAAGACCTGCTAGTGGGGGTCACCCCTGAAGACCTGCTGGTGGGGGTCACCCCTGAAGACCTGCTGGTGGGGGTCACCATTGATGAGCTGCTGGTGGGGGTCACCATTGATGAGCTGCAGGTGGGGGTCACCATTGATGAGCTGCTGGTGGGGGTCCCCATTGATGAGCTGCTGGTGGGGGGTCCCCATTGATGAGCTGCTGGTGGGGATCCCATTGGAGTGAACCTGTAGCCAGGCTGTTGGCATCCAATCAGTTACACTCTTATTAGTAAGCAGCAAGAAGACACCAAGTCCCCCCGCAGCGTGCACTGTGGAACAATTCATCTTGAAGGTACATGCATTCAGACTTTCATAGGCACAGGGGAGCTCCAGCGGAACCGTCCTCTGAAGAGCGTGCAGAGTGTCAGATGGAGGGGAAAGAGAACCGGTAACGTTGGGATCGGAGGAAGAGAACCGGTCACGGTGGGATCGGAGGAAGAGAACCGGTCACGGTGGGATCGGAGGAAGAGAACCGGTCACGGTGGGATCGGAGGAAGAGAACCGGTCACGGTGGGATCGGAGGAAGAGAACCGGTCACGGTGGGATCGGAGGAAGAGAACCGGTCACGGTGGGATCGGAGGAAGAGAACCGGTCACGGTGGTATCGGAGGAAGAGAACCGGTCACGGTGGGATCGGAGGAAGAGAACCGGTCACGGTGGGATCGGAGGAAGAGAACCGGTCACGGTGGGATCGGAGGAAGAGAACCGGTCACGGTGGGATCGGAGGAAGAGAACCGGTCACGGTGGGATCGGAGGAAGAGAACCGGTCACGGTGGGATCGGAGGAAGAGAACCGGTCACGGTGGGATCGGAGGAAGAGAACCGGTCTCACGTTGGGATCGGAGGAAGAGAACCGGTCACGGTGGGATCGGAGGAAGAGAACCGGTCACGTTGGGATCGGAGGAAGAGAACCGGTCACGGTGGGATCGGAGGAAGAGAACCGGTCACGGTGGGATCGGAGGAAGAGAACCGGTCACGGTGGGATCGGAGGAAGAGAACCGGTCACGTTGGGATCGGAGGAAGAGAACCGGTCACGGTGGGAATCGGAGGAAGAGAACCGGTCACGGTGGGATCGGAGGAAGAGAACCGGTCACGGTGGGAATCGGAGGAAGAGAACCGGTCACGGTGGGATCGGAGGAAGAGAACCGGTCACGGTGGGATCGGAGGAAGAGAACCGGTCACGGTGGGATCGGAGGAAGAGAACCGGTCACGGTGGGATCGGAGGAAGAGAACCGGTCACGTTGGGATCGGAGGAAGAAGAACCGTTCACGGTGGGATCGGAGGAAGAGAAACCGGTCACGGTGGGAATCGGAGGAAGAGAACCGGTCACGGTGGGATCGGAGGAAGAGAACCGTTCACGGTGGGATCGGAGGAAGAGAACCGGTCACGGTGGGATCGGAGGAAGAGAACCGGTCACGGTGGGATCGGAGGAAGAGAACCGGTCACGTTGGGATCGGAGGAAGAGAACCGGTCACGGTGGGATCGGAGGAAGAGAACCGGTCACGGTGGGATCGGAGGAAGAGAACCGGTCACGGTGGGATCGGAGGAAGAGAACGGTCACGGTGGGATCGGAGGAAGAGAACCGGTCACGATGGGATCAGAGGAAGAGAACCGGTCACGGTGGGGTTGGAGGATACCGAGATCAGGAAGATGACATTCCTATACCTGATCCCTAGAGGCAGTAGGGAGGCTGTCTGTCATTACTCCCTATCAGTGACGGGCCGGACACCCCCGTGTTCAGTTTGCAGTCAAACATTTGAACCTGATGAATGTTGGACCGCGAACTTTAAACTCAATGCAAGTCTGTGGGACCAGAACTTGTAAATTCTAAAGTGCCCATTGTGAAGACTCAGGGACTTGGGGACTAGGGGACATGGGGGACTAGGGGACTCGGGGACTCGGGGACTAGGGGACTAGGGGATATGGGGACTAGGGGACACGGAGACTCGGAGACTAGGGGACACGGGGACATGGGGACTAGGGGACTCAAGGACTAGGGGACATGGAGACTAGGGGACTCGGGGACATGGGACTAGGGGACTCGGGGACACGGGGACTAGGGGACTCGAGGACTAGGGGACACGGGGACTAGGGGACTCAAGGACTAGGGAACTCGGGGACACGGGGACATGGGGACTAGGGGACACGGGGACTCGGAGACTAGGGGACTCGAGGACTTGGGGACTTGGTGACCATCCTGAGGGACAGGAATCAGGGAACATTTTTTTTTAAAAGTAGAGTTTTTAAAGGGGACGTTGGTTGTGACATCACCTCTAGCTCCGCCCAATTGTTTACATGTGACTGGCGACTGTCAGATCTGTCAGAGTGCGGCGAGTGCACGGCGGGTGCAGACGGGTTTTTTTAATTTCAGCGAGTGGGGCGTCGCTGGGACAGCGATGGATTGATGATGGATTACAACGGTGGAACCATTTTTTTTTACAGGGACTTGTCAAAAACTGTTGTGTTGTTTTTTGTTCAATGAAAGGAATTTTTCAAAAGTCTGATGTCTCTTTTTACAAAATGTAACCCTTTAGTGTATAGGTACCCCTTACTCATTCATGCGAGGGGGGCAGTATCAGGGTGCCCCATTGATTAAAGGGGTACCCTGATGCTGATGAGCCCCTCTGAAGGTAAGAATGTGAAGGGAAAACAAAATGGTAAATTTTGGGTTGTCTCCAGAACAGGAATTAGAGGGGAAATCTTCCAACGGGGACACTGGTTTTTGGAGAGATTTCCTCTCACTTCCTGTTGTGTCTGTGGGACAGGAAGTGAAGGGAATTCCACCAAATGGAAAAGAAACAGGCAGGGGTTATAACCCTCCCCCCCACCCCACCCCATCCCCCCCATGCACACACTACATCCAGAATGAAATAAAAAAGTTTTGCCTTCAGTTCTACTTGAAAGCTTCTAGAGGGGCCCCCAGTTATGGCGCCCACATTCCTCCATTGGTCCAAGCTGGACTATGTACTAAGAAATGATGTCCTGTGTAATGCCATCCTTACCGGGAAGTCAGCCTTAAGGTGTAACTCCACTTTTATTGAGAATAAAACCCCGCCCCCCACCCATTCCCCCCCCCCCCCCGGGTGATCTCTACACCTTACAGGGATTGTAACAACCTTTGTAGCAGATTCTGACCTGTTATTGCTGTTTGTCTCCCCGTGTCCTGTACAGACTGATTCTGAGTGGGCGGGTCGGGTTCATTATAATCACCCGGTACACTCTCAGTGTTCTGATGAGGAAAGTGTTGGGGTCTGCATCCCTTTGGAAGTATTTAACCCTTGGGGGTGTATCTCACCATATTCCTATTACAGGGGGGTGCCTGTTAATGTAGATAGCTCTCAGCCCCCACTAATGATTAGTAGCCAGCAGGACCTCCTCCCGATCACCTAAGAACTGCGACAGCCAACAGCGGTCACATGATCGCCGGTCCTACCTGCTCCCCGGGGCGTACAGACCCAATTAAAGGGGTGCCAGAGCTGGGCAGGAAAGGGGTTAATACCATTCCATTGTGACTTGTGCAGCAATTCTTGATGTTGTTTTATATTTTCCTCAGGACAGGGGAGTTGTCCTTTAAGAGGCGCTGCCAATTCTTGATGCTGTATTATATTTTCCCCATGAAGGGGAGTTGTCCTTTAAGAGGCGCTGCCAATTCTTGATGCTGTATTATATTTTCCCCATGACAGGGGAGTTGTCCTTTAAGAGGCGCTGTCAATTCTTGATGTTGTATTATATTTTCCCCATGAAGGGGAGTTGTCCTTTAAGAGGCGCTGCCAATTCTTGATGTTGTATTATATTTTCCCCATGAAGGGGAGTTGTCCTTTAA